TTATTTCTCAAAGAACCAGCTCTTAGTTTCATTTATCCTTTTTACTGTTTTCTTAGTCTCTATTTCATCTATTTCTGCTCTGATTTTTATTATTTCCTTCCTTCTGCTGACTTTGAGATTTTTTCTAGCTCTGTTAGGTGCATTTTAAGATTACTTATTTGAGATTTTTCTTGCTTGTTGAGATGGGCCTGTATTGCTATGAATTTTCCTCTTTTGACTGCTTTTGCTGCATCCCATAAGAGTTGATATGTTGTGTTTTCATTTTCATTTGTCTCCAGGTACTTTTTAATTTCCTCTTTGATTTCTTTTTTTTTTCCTTAAAGATTGGCACCCAGGCTAACACTGTTGCCAATCTTTTTTTTTTTTTTCTGCTTTATTTCCAACCTCCCCCCCCCCCCCCGGTACATAGTTGTATATCTTAGTTGCAGATCCTTCTAGTTGTGGGATGTGGGATGCCACCTCAACGTGGCCCGACAAGAGGTGCCATGTCTGCGCCCAGGATCCGAACCCTGGGCCGCTGCAGTGGAGCGCAAGAACTTAACCACTCGACCACGGAACCAGCCCCTCCTTTTTGATTTCTTCAATAATCCAGTGGTTGTTCAATAGCATGTTGTTTAGTCTCCACATATCTCTGACTTTCCCAGTTTTGTACTTGTGTTTGATTTCTAGCTTCATAGCATTGTGGTCAGAAAAGATGGTTGGGAGGATTTCAATCTTCTTGAATTTGTTGAGGCTTGCCTTGTTACCCAACATATGGCCTATCTTTGAGAATTTTCCATGGGCACTTGGGAAAAACGTATATTCTGCTGTTTTTGGATGGAATGCTCTATATATGTCTATTAAGTCCATCTGGTCAAGTGTTTCATTTAAATCTACTATTTCCTTGTTGACTTTTTGTCTGGATGATCTGTCCATTGAAGTAAGTGGGGTGTTGAAGTCCCTTATTATTATTGTGTTGCTGTTAATTTCTCCCTTTAGGTCTGTTAATAATTGCTTTATGTACTTTGGTGCCTCTGTGTTAGATGCATATATGTTAATAAGTGTTATGTCCTCTTGGTAGAATATCTCTTTTATCCTTGGATGCTGCCTCTCTTTGTCTCTCAGTCTTTTTTAACTTGAAGTCTGCTTTGTCTGAGAAAAGTATGGCAACACCTGCTTTCTCTTGTTGGCTAGTAGCTTGGAGTATTGTCTCCCATCCCTTCACTCTAAGCCTATGTTTGTCTTTGTAGCAGAGGTGCATTTCCTGGAGGCAGCATATTGTTGGGTCTTGTTTTTTAATCCATCCAGCTACTTTGTGTCTTTTGATTGGACAGCTCAGTCCATTTACATTTAGAGAGATTATTGTTATATGAGGGCTTAATGCTGCCATTTTATCTCTTGTTTTCTGGTTGTTTTGTGTTTCCACTGTTTCTCTTCCTTTGTATTTCTGGCTGCCATTTCATTTTGTTGGTTTTGTGAGAGGGATTTCTCAGTTCTCTCTCTTTTTGTGAATTGTGGCTCTGGTCTGATTTTTTGTTTAGTGGTTACTGTGAGGATTGTATGAAAGATATTGGAGATGAGATAGTCCATTTTCTTATAGTCTCTTATCCCCATTAAACCTAAGCAGTTTCCTTCCCTTTCCTCCCCCCTTCTGGGTAATTGCTGTTACACATTGTTCTGTTTTTAATTTTCTGAGTTTGTGGCTAAGTTGAGGTATTTATCCTTACTTTTAATGCTTTCTTTCCCTTTCTCTTTTAAGTTGTAATTGACCCTTTGCCTCCCTGTTCTAGGAGAGAGTTGCAAGTTTCTGATCATGTCTGTCTATTTATCTCCTTGCTCAGAGCTTTGTAGACCTTTGCCAGTCTGAGGGCATCTTTAATTATTTCTTGTAGGGGAGCTCTAGTGGTGGTGAACTCCCTCAGCTTTGGTTTATCTGGGAAATATTTTATTTCTCCATTGTATCCAAAGGAAAGTTTTGCTGGATAGAGTATTCTTGGCTGAATGTTTTTGTCTTTCAGTCTTTTGAATATATCATTCCATTCTCTCCTAGCCTGTAGGGTTTCTACTGAGAAATCTGCTGACAGCCTGATAGGGTTTCCTTTGTGGGTTATTTTCTTCTGCCTTACTACTCCTAATATTCTTTCTTTAACCCAAACTTCTGCCATTTTTACTATTATATGCCTTGGAGAGGGTCTTTTCATGTTGGTAAAATTGGGTGTTCAGTTAACTTCATTTATCTGTAAATCTGAAAGCATCCCCATGTTTGGGAAGTTCTCAGCATTTATTTCTTTGAACAAGCTCTCTGCTCCTTTCTGTCTCTTCTCCCTCTGGGATATCTATAATCCTTATGTTGCTTTTCCTAATTGAGTCAGATATTTCTTGAAGAATTCCTTCTTTTTTTAAAATCTTAGTTCTGTCTCCTCTTCCACCTGTAGAATTTCTACATTTTTATCCTCATGAAGACTAATTCTTTCCTTCATAAGATCAATTCTATTTCTTAATGATTCTAGATTATTATTTATTTCATTAATTGTGTTTTCATATCCAGAATTTCTGCTTGATTTTTTTGTATAGTTCAATCTCTTTGGTGAAGAGAGTCATTTTATTGCTGAGCTTCTTAAATTGTCTTTCCATGTTTTCTTGTAAGTCATTGAGTTTCCTTATGATGGCTACTTTGAACTCTCTGTCATTTAGGTTGTATTTTTCTGTGCCTTTAGTGTTGGTTTCTGGAGAATTGTCATTTTTCTTCTGGTCTGAATTGTTGCTGCGGTTTCTCATGGTGTTTGATCAGCTGATCTTTTTGTTGGGACATCTGTGGTATTCTTAGGATGCAGATTCCCCCTGTTACCACTAGGGGGGAGCAGGAGCAGTGTTTCTGGCCCCACCCCATCTGCTGGAAGCTTTGGGGGTGTTATGGATGCTTTCCCCAGCCTGAGATGCCTTCAGGCAGTTGTGTGGACTGTCCTTGTTGGGTGGGGCTTCCTCACTAGGCTGGGGCCACTCTCTGGTGCCTCAAGGGTGCACTGAGCTCCCCCTCCCTGCGAGAAAGTGGTCACCAGTGGGCTCAAAGCTACCATGCCCATTCACACAGCTACCCAGGACATGTTCCCTCTTTGGGAGTGCAACTGCACTGTGAGCACTTGCACACGCCTGGGAAGTGTTTGCCCCAGTGCAGAAATCTGCTGAGGTCCCTGTTTACGATCTGCAGTCTGCAGAGCCTCTGTGCTTGGTGGGCTGGGCTTCCTCGCTGGGACCTGAGCTATGGCTGCTCCTTTACAGCCCTGGGGCACGGTGAGCTCCCCCTCCCCGCCAGTTAAGCGAGGGGCGTGTAGGTTCAAAACTGCTGCGCCTATTCCCACAGCCACCCAGACCCATTCCTTCTTTGGGAGCACAGCTGCACTGTGAGTGTTTGCACATGCCTAGGAAATGTTTGCCCCAGCGTGGAAATCTGCTGAGGTCCCTGTTTATGATCTGCAGTCGGTGGGGCCTCTGAGCTTGGTGGGCAGGGCTTCCCTGCTGGGACCCGGGCTATGGCTGGTCCTTGATGACACAGGGGCACAGTGGGCTCCCTCTTATGGTTGCGCAGCTGCGTGTTCCCACTTTCTGGGTTCTTGCACCAGGTTGGAAGGCGTTTTTGTGCGTGCACAGGGCTACCAGGGGAGACCAGGGTATGCTCACCTATCTCTGCCACTTCCCGGGGAGCCAGTCCATCCACCTTCAGATGTATAGCTTCGTGTGTCTCAGGCATCCTGTTGTGCTGTGTGGGCTTCCTCCGTTGGTCAATGAGTGTCCATCTAGTTGCAGTTCAAAAGGGGGAGAGACAAAGGGAACAGCTTACTCTGCCATGTTGCTCTGATTTCATGATATTTTGACTTATTCTCAGTGTTCATTTAACTTCTTATGAGGATACCAACATTCATTTATATTTCAGATTGGTTGAAAAAAGTTCTTTCTATGCTTTTGCGTCAGCTACCGTGTATGCAAAGTTACATCCCTTGCTGTTGAAGAACTTGCAGTCTATTGGAGGAGAATATAAAGATAATTCCTCAAGAAAATGACAAGTCAAGCCACAAGCTAGGAGAAAATATTTTCAAAAGACATATCTGATAAAAGACTGTTACGTGGATTCATTGATTGTAACAAATGTAATACTCTGGTGCAGGAGGATGATGCTATGCACATGTAGGGTCAAAGTGTATATGGCGACTCTCTGTACTTTCCACTCAATTTTGCTGTGAACCTAAAACTGCTCTAAAAAAACAAAATCTACTTTAAAAAATGATAAAGCCAATGAGTGATGGTAAATACTCTGAAAGAAGGTTTATAGGAATTATAGTAACCCAGAGAAGAGGGGGCTTATTCAGCTGAGGGAAGTTTGGAGAAGAATTCACAGAAGCAGTGGCTTTTAGACTGAGATTTAAAAGGCAAGAAGAATTTTACCTGTAGGAAGGTGCAAGGCAGGACTTACGGGTAGAGAAGAAGGGAGAAGGAGCTGGAGGGAGTTACAAGGGAAGGGTAAAAAGAGCAGGGGGAGGAGGAGGTATGATACACTCTGTGAATACCTTCTAATTCTTACTGAAACCAGATTTTATAGTAGACATAGGCAGGTAATTGGACTAGTGGAGCAAGTTGGGAATTTTAGCCATTTTATCAGCCGTGCTGATGAGTTTGGAGTCTATCTAGGAAGGAAGCTATTGACTGTGAAGAATAGAAAAGCTAACACTTATTGTGTCTTTACTTTTGTTGTTATTGTTGTTATGGACTATCGCATGTAATGTCACAGCTCCCCTTGGAGCTAGACATTATTGTCTCAGTTTGCCATTGAAGAAAATAAAGCAAAGAGAGGTTAAATAACTGCCCTAGTTGACGCAGCTAATCAGTGGCAGAGATGAGACTCAAATCCAGACATCATGATATCAAAATTCACATGCCTGGCCACACTCCAAGGGGTGATGTGGGTGACAAAGAGGGAGGAACTGAATGTAGATCAGATACCATTGCCCAACTTTTGTTTTTTCCAGGTCTCTTCGCAAGAAAATAAGACCAGCAGCTGCAATCAACTGCAATCCTGTCACACCTTCACGATGTTCCCCTTGTCCAGAAATGTACTAAGCTCTCTCAAGATTCGAAGCATTCAGCAAATTAGGGCAAGACAGAGTCATGCAAAACACTCACCAGATTTTCATGACAAATATGGTAATACTTTACTAACCAGGGGAACCATTTTCTGTGTTGTTGCATGGGTGTTTACAATCACACAGATTGGAATAGAATGGAACCAATCCCCTGTTGGCAGAGTCACCCCAAAAGAGTGGAATGATGAGTAACCGTCACAGTTACTGTAATACAGAATTGCTTCAAAATCAACTTGTTTATTTAAGGGCTCTGCTGCTCATTAAAATTTAACATAATTGAGAAATAAAGTACATTTGAAACCTTTAAATAGTCATTGAAAATAGTCATTATGGTGCCTGGAAGCAAAGATGTAGCAGTGGGTATAGATTAAAGGGGATTATGAATAATAAATATTTGAAAGTAGAGTTAATAAGGTGTGTATTCTTCTGGTTTAATGATTTACAGTAGATATCCTTCAGTAGACATATACACATATGTACTTTACAAATTAGTTTAATTGTCTGGAAAATCCTATTGAATCTTTGTTTAAAACATATTCATAATCTGACCACTTTTCGCATCCTTCATCTTTCGCTCCCTTATCTGAGCCACTGTACTCTCAATGGAATTACTACAAAACTTTCTAGCCAGTGTCCTTGCTTCTGCACTTGATGTCTCCCCAAGCCTGTCCCCGCACCCTGCCACATACAATCTTTTTTAACCACAGCAGCCAGAATGATCATTTTAAAACATTAGTGATATCATTCCTCTTTTCAAAACCCAATGACTCCCCATGTCCCTCCAAAGTTAAAGTCCTTGGAAAGGTACACAGGCTCCCAGGTGCTGCCTGGTCAGCTTCACTCCTGCCTCAAGACTTTTCCATTTGCTCTTCTCTCTGCTTGGAATGCACCTCCTCCAGGTCCTGTATGACTCACTCCATCACACTTTGCAGGGGTTTGTTCACGTATGGTCTTTTCAGAGAGGGCCTCTGACTGCCCTTTTAAAGAGTACAGCTCCTACTCAGACCAGGCTTTGCCTGTGCTTTTTCCCGACTTTATTTTTCTCTATAGCGGTTATCACCATCTGAAGTAAGAAGTGTTTTATTGTTTATTGTCTATGTGCAAAACACCATAAAAGCATAGTTGGGGGCTCTTTTTTCATCACTTTATCCCTACAAAGGGGCCTGATAGATTAGGCCATTAGTAATTATTGATGGAATTAGTGAATTAATGGGTGATTTTAGATAATTCAGAGTCCCTATTAGTCTGAAAATAATGAATTTGTTTACCACTATGGGTTTGCAATGGTTGTTGGAAGGTGTATTAGTTACCTATTCCTGTTTTACAAATTAAAACTCCGTGACTTAAAACAGCAAGCATTTATTATCTCACACTTTCTGTGGGTCAAGTATCTGAGCATGACTTAGCCGGATGCCTCTGGTGCGGGATGCCACGCTTCTGCAGTCAAAGTGTCAGACAGGGCAGTAGTCATCTCAAGGCACAACTGGGGTTGACCCATACCCAAACTCACATACAGCTGTTTACTGGCCTCCGGCCCTAGCTGGATATTAGCTGGAGACTTCAGTTCCTTGTTGTGTGGGTCTCTCCACAGGGCAACTCACAATGTAACAGAGTAAGAGAAGGTGCCCAATACAGAAGCCACAGTCTTTTTGTAACCTAGTCTTGCAAGTGACATGTTATCACCTCCACCATATTTTATTCATTAAAAGTGAGACACTAAGTCAAGGCCATATAAAAGGCGAGAGGGTTATGCAAGGGTGTGATTACCTCAAGGCAGGGACCATCAGGGGCTGTCTTATGGACTATTTACCACAGTTGGCCATGGAGACCACCTCCTTCTCCTGGATGACTAACTTCAAGGTAAATGTACTGTTCCTCAAGCTCAAATATATATTAATATCATTATTCTCTAGATAAAGGGCATTATTCTCTAGATAAAGGGCATTACATGTTCCTCCCCATTTTTTGCTATGTGAGAGTTCCTCTAGGGCTGTTCCTAGGTGTAGAATTGGTAGGTCGTAGGACATGTCCATTTTCAGCTTTATCAGTCTAGCTGAATTATTCCCAAAGTGGTTAAATAGTCTACAGTCTCACCAGCCATTTGTACAACTTCCTCTTGTTCCACATCCAAACTCCCTCTTAGAGTTTTCATACATTTTAATATTTGCTACTTTGATGAGTATAAAATAGCAGCTCATGTTTTAATTTATATTTTTATGATTACTGATGAAGTGGAACATCCTGTATTAGCTTTTGGGGTTTTTTTATGTGTTTGTGACTTTTCTGTTTGTTTCTTTTGCCATTTTTCTATTCAGTTGTTTGTCTTACTCATTTGTGGAAGTTTTTCTATATTCTACATAGCAATTGTATCAGTCAAGGTTTAACCAGAGAAACAGAACCAGTATGAGTAGTATAGAAGATAGGATTAATTATGGGAATTACTTCTAATTCCCTTGCAATCGTGAGAGTTAGTGGAGAAGGCTTTACAAGGCTATTGTCTCTGCATCTGGTACTAAGTAAGTTCTCAGTAAAGGAGGAAAGTTGAATGTGAAGTAGAGGAGAGCAAGGACCACCTGGAATTGAGAAGGATGCATTGAAATTGTGAATATGAACTGGAACTTGTGCCTGTTTCCCACTGTCTCTAAGATGACATGGATGACTTATGGGAGAAGTGATGTCCTTCACTGTGAAACTGCACATTCACCTGGAACAGGACTCACAAAAGCTAAAGAAGAATGTAAATAGCTATATACCTAGGTGCTGTTCCCTATCAGTAAACAGAAGATGAGCAACAGCACATGCAAGCTGCCACAGTATCTGGTGTTCTGTGCCAACCTTTCGAGTGTAAAATGATTGCTGTCTCATGTCCACCATCCCTATCTCATGCATTTCTGTCTTGTGGCCAACTCTAACCTGAAACCATAGAAAGAAGGGAATTCTGGGAAAAGTACTTCAAGCCTAGCTAAGTTAACACTTAGAAGGCCACAGTAATCCACCTCTTGTCAACCTGAAATCAGTGCATATCTTTCCTAACCGTACCTATATCTCAGACAAAGACAATAGCAAACATATGCTTTCCCCTAACATGAAGCAACTGTTCCTCATAAAACTAACCTGGTGAGCCTATCTCCCAAAGAGGACACAAAGTGCCTTACCCATGGCAGGGGGGCACTCTCAACTTCCAGGTTAATGGAACCATTGTTGTGATTCCTAGAGGAAGCCTAAGATGTCTAGACCAGCAAAGTTATGGGAACAGGAACTGAATATTTCTATAGTGGTTTGCTTTGGATAATTGTGGGGGAGCCACTTCCATTTCCACCTCTTGATCCCAGACCTGTAAATCCTAGCTCTGGGAAAATAGCAACATATATTTGTTGGTTATTTAGAGAATATCCAACATCCTGGAAGACATTACCTCAGCCTGGTAAGGTGGTGTTATCCAGCCTTTATTGTAACTTACACTTCAAAAAGCCATTGCACCATTCTATCAGTGATGAGAAACATGGTAAGATCAGTGACTCCCATAAGTGTGAGCCCATTACTGCACTTCATTTACTGTAAAGTAAGTTTCTTGGTCAGAATCAGTGCTGTGTTGTATACTGCAGTGCTAAATAATGCATTTTGTAAGTTCATGGATGATGGTATTCACAGAAAAGTCACAGCTAGAGAAGGTAAATCTCTCTTGTTAGTAAATGTATATTCAAGTGAGAACAAAGTGCTGCCTTTTCCATGGTGGAAGTGGTCCAATGAAATCAACTTGACGCTGATGGCTAACTGATTCGCTCCCTTCCCCTAAGGAATGGTGCCAAATGGAGATGCAGTGTTGGTGTGTCCATTTGGCAGACCGAGTGCTCAACGGTGGCTATAGCCAGACCAGCCTTGATGAGCGCAAGTGCACACTGTCGGACCTTCCCATGGTCTCCACCCCTGCTGTCATGACCACTTTGTTTCTGAGTCGTTGTGAAAGCGTAGGGTGGCTGAGAAAGAGAGTGATAGCCATACGAATGGATCACCTTGTCCACCTGATTGTTAAGATACTCCTCTGCTGAGTATCATTTTGTGAGTATTTATATGGTACCCAGATATCTTCCCACTCTGTGCCCATTTAGAAAAGTCTGTTCGCATAATCCATTCCTAGAATTCTTGTCACCAATTTTCCAATAGTGTTCCTTCTAATTCTCTGACCAGCCTGCCAAACCACTTGTACCCATGACTTGGTGTAGAATTGTACCTTTGGCCGTTTCTCCTTCCCAGCAAAATTAACCACTATGTATGCTTCATAATGTACTGCCTACCAGGAAGATTTCCCTTCTTCTTCAGGGCCAACTTGAAATTAAACTGTATTGTTGCAGCTGTCCACTTTCAGGTGTGTCTAACATATTTTTCAGAACCATATCCAAATTCTTTCTTTCTCAGACAGGTGGTAATAGGAAATACACCATGGGGCCACAGGTTTACACACCTATAAACTCTAGGGATGATATGAAACTTTTGTAAACACACAACTTGTAAACAATGGAGCCAGGAGTCAAGCTTTAGAACCTGGTTTTTTACTTCCAAGTTACATGGTCTATTAGTCTTTCTTCAAGTATATAGGTTGGAAGTTCTGGAAAAAGATTCAAGCTGGAGCTAGAGAAGATAGGGAGCCATCATAAATTGTTGTGAAAATCATAGGAGTGAAAAACATTTTCAAGAGAATATATCAACAAGGAAGTAAGGATAAGGAATGCATGTGGCATGTAATGAATATTTTTAAATGACAATTACTTTCTTCCTTATCTTCATCCTGAACGTTTTCTAATTTGAAACAAGGATTAAAGCCTACCTCTTTAGGTGTATGTATAAGTATGCATATGTGTGTGTAGAGAGAGAAAGAGAGAGAATGCATATGTGTGTATGTGTATCTATATCTATATAGATATAGTCATACCTATATATACACATACATATATCTGTATAGATATAGGCATAGATATGTACACATACATATATCTATATAGATATATACACATACATACACATATATTTTTAAGAGCACAATTATTTTAAGGAATGTATATATACATGCTAGAATTATTATGATATTAAAACTTGTGGCCACTGCTTTTTTTATAACAAAATCTAGGTATTGAATCTTTTACTGTTTCTAATCTTTCTCACTGGATGTCATATTGATCATATGTAAGACATCTGATGCAAGCCATTTTGTTGTTCTCCATGTGTCTTAAAACTAACTTTTGAATGTATTTATCAAATTACCAGCCACAATGTAATTCTTACATTGTCTCACACATTTCTTGGAAAATTA